TATATATATATATATATATATAGTGATACATTCTTACATCAAACCTTTTTTTTAATTCTCTTTCCCCCAGTGGGACAGCAGTAAGTCCTTGAATTTACAACACTAAAATCAGGGGTTCAATTTCCTCGGTAGACACAGCAGATAACTCGATGTGACTTTGCTATGAGAAAACACACACACACATTAAATTTTCTGTGACACAACATACACACAGTGAGGGCACACAAACGTCTTATGTATCTCAGAGTGTGCACTAGGACTCTCTATGGAGGAATGCAGTGAAAAAATGGCTACCGCTATTACAATAATATATTAACTCAGATGACGTTGATACGACAACAGCCACCATAATGCTGGTATGAAGAGCCGTTTCTTGAGTTATACCCACTTTCTACTTTGACCCGTGACCTTACAACTTCATCCCATAAGGCACTTCTGTGGCCAGTGACTGTCAATTAATTAATAACATGAAACAATGTGGAAGAACATTAAGAGCTGGTTGTTGAAAGAAGGTAACAGAAATCATCCCTACAGCCACTACATTAGCCGCTACCTCGTCGTACAAAGTCACCCTGACCACCATACAGTGTATACCATGTTTTGAGTATATACATAGTGAGTTCTTATATCTTCTACAAGATATTTGGTGAGGTAATAATGAATACTGTAATAATATGTTATGTTACAAATAAATTGTGTGAAAGTTAGGATTTTTGGGTTATTTATCATAGCATCCACCCACACATTTTTTAAAGTTCAAAACACGGACAACGGATGGGTACCTCAGCTTGTTCAGTAATATTTAAACATAAAACGAGCAATGTTATATAGCTAATCTGTTAATATCCAACATTCAAATTTCCTTTCTTTAATAGCCTCCCATTGGCTTAGCGGGAAATCTGAAGGCTTATAAGACTAAAAATTGGGTTTCAATATCCGTGGTGGGTACAGTACAGAGGTGGGTACAGCACAGATAGTCCATTGTGTATCTCTGTACTTCTGTAGTTCACCTTAATTGAAATATGGAATATTTTATTAATTCAAATGTTTAAACAAAACTATCACAGTGTATACAAATATTTATCCAAGTTTCACTTACGAGCAGTGAATCACTCTAAAATACGTTTACTTTCACATTAGTTTCTCATTAGTCTGGATATTCTTTCCACTTACACAAAATACAAAACATCCATTTACTTTTACGTAAGTTTTACATTAGTCCTAATAATAGCATAGCAGTAGTAAGGGAGGCACTATCGCATTCAAAGGATGCTGCCTCACGCTAATTGTCTGCCTTAGAGGAGGGAGAGGTGGTGATGTAATTAAAGATGACGAGGTCATAGTTCCAATTTATGTGTGTGTGTATGTCATCATCGAAGATGAAGACGTAATAATTCCAAAAGCTACCACCAGGGCGCATCGTTAGGGGCGCGTTGTTAGGCCGCCATGTTGTCATAATGCTGAAATTATAGTTCGATACCAGACAGGCAACCATAATGGGTGATTACGTCACAAAGTAGAGATAGTGTTTCACGGTGGTCATGACTCATACAATACATGTCTGAACAATAATATAATTAATCGTTAATTCGATAGTTAATTAAGTTAATAACGGCTGGAGATGGCTTGAATGGGTAATGAAGAAAACTTTATATAAGTTTAACATGACAGCAAATGTACAACGTTTCGACAAGG